TTCGACATGTTCTCTGATGCAATTTTAAATGTCAGTTCTTAGCCAAACAATGATCTGCTTACATTGCAATGAGATTTTTGCTTGTACTATTCCACATATGCATGGAAATAAATATTAAAATAATGTTATCAACAATTAATGATGAATAGTTGTTTTAAATCTGTGATGTAATCTGCAAATCTCAAAAAATTTCTTTGAGATTTTTTTCTCCCAATAGTAAAGTGATCTGGGCTTACTTATCATTTTGTGTTTTATGCTTCATAAGTCAGAGAATCACAGAATGTTTGAGGTTGGAAGGGACCTCTAGAGATCACCTAGTCCAACCCCCCTGCTCCAGCAGGGACACCTAGAGCACATGGCACAGGGTGGCATCCAGGTGGGTTTGGAAGATCTCCAGAGAAGGAGACTCCACAACATCTCTGGGCAGCCGAGATACTAAACTACAACATGTAGTGAAGATTATTAGCTACATGGACAACCTGCAATGTACACAGACATCTTTAGGGAGTAAAAAAAGTAGCACGGTCAGGGCTTACATCTAGCTTTGGAAAAGAGCAAAGGTCAGCATAAAGTTAAGGTTATATAAATATGAATTTCAAGTAATATTACAGATGAGGTAGGCTATCAAAATGTATCAATTGACTTCAGTAACCAAGACTTCATGGCCAGTCCAGCTGGCAAACAATAGACAGGTTCAAATAGTTCTTGGAATAGTGGCAAAAAATAGAAAAACCTAAATAACCTAGATATTATTTAAAAAACACTTTCAGAATACTAATATACAATAACATCCAATGTGCAAAAGATACTGCTTTTGAGAAATCAGAGAGAGCAGTTAGAAAAGACTTCATCATTAGATGATAAAAATGTAAAGTCAGAACTAGGTTGTTTAAACAAGGAGAGCATAGGAACAGTTCTCCAACAGCAGAATGGTAGAAATGGAAGCAGCTGATACACGCATCATAAGTATCAATTAAAAACTGAACTTTGATATATTCAGAGAGGAAGAAGACTGTGTTCTTATTTAACAGTGAAAAATATTGTGCCTTGACAGAATATCAGCATTAATGCGAAGAGAACAGATTCCACTGTTCAGTTTCAAGTTTCATCCAAAAGATAGGGAAAAATCCTGCCTAAAAATAGTGATGTTTTTAAAATGCCAATTTAGGATATTTCAGTGGAATCCACAGTGGGATTTGATGGTTGCATGTTTAGATGCCATCATACCTGAGAAAAATTCCTTTCTAGACAATGGTAACCCCTCAAATGTGACACCTGACAAACTGGCTGCAGTTTAGAAGATGAGTTTGGCCTGTTTCTAGTCATGTCCTGACTGAGGCATACCACTAAATTGGATAGTGAACAGTGCTAATACAGTTAGAAATTTCCTGGAAAAACCTGCAGCCACAAAAGGGCCTCTTCACAGCACTGGTTAGGCAGAGGATGGCAGCAGTGACTAATGGATCACCACAACCTGACATGTTATTCGGAAGAATATGGAAAGCAGGAACATCTAAATGTTGGAACCTGAACTTAGGGGAAGCGAGAAACTCTGCTCCTGGGGGAAGCTGATGGTGCTGGTAGCTTTTGTCTCATTCAACTTTAGGCTTGCATAATTTATCGGTAATTTAAGTCTATCTCCAAGCTGGTTATCTATGCTATCCATATAGTCAGAGGAGAGAAAGAGGCCCTTACACTGTTTAATTCAGACCTTCCTAATGAACCACCCTTTTACCTGCTGACTGTCACGAGTTTAGACAATCACTTTGTATGTAGATAAGTGCATTGTCCTAAAACTACCTCATCTTACCCAGTGCTAACTTCAGATTTTAGGAATTGCATCACTAGTATAGTAATGTTCAAAACACCATCTCTACCCAGAAACATTGCTCACTCTTTTCAACGATAGATAAAAATTCCACCCACTAAGTGAAAGCTCCTGCCAAAAGTCAACCCAAGAAACTGGAGACAGTAACACTGTATCTCTGAATTAAGTAGCATTCTGTGAATTTGTCTAATCACTTGGGAACCCTGTAAACTTGTGATACCTACAACATCCTGCGGCAATAAATATCACAACTTAATTATGTCATGTGTGAAAATGTATACCTTTTAATTTGTTCTGTTCCCACCACGTGATAACCTGATTTTGGGCCCCCTTGTGTAAATTCTGAAAAAAGAAATAATCATTCCCATATAACCAATGCTTCCAATAACCATACCAAGGATAACCAGCAAAAGTGTGATAGCTAATTGCTGTATTTTTTGCTCTGCTATGAAATCTTATTGACCATCTGGATGTCATAAAGACTTGGGGATGCTGTGCTAGTGTGATCAGTGAGTAAAAAAATGAAAACCTATGTACAAATAACATTGGTAAAGCTGTGTTAGATGTAATTTATTATCATTCAAAAGAGGACAGCAATCCATCAAAGAGGATAATTTATGCTTGGACAGCATAAACTCTTAAGTGCAATCTTTGAACAGCTTACGCATCAGTCCAGACTAATAGCATATATTTAGCAAAATATCTTTTATTTACAAGTTTGTGCAAACATTATTTAATTTCTTATTAACTAAAAGTAGCTCATATTTGCTGAGCACAGAAATTAAATTCACCCTAAGAGGACTATAACAATTTAGAGGGCACAAAATGTAAGCAGATTTCTCCTCCAGGATACTTTAATAGCACCTTCACAACAAGTATTTTCATTTGCATCTCCTATACATAGATGCTTCTCCCATACAATACTCCCTTCTCTTTTCTCTCCCAAACTTCTCCTTGAGAATCAATATTTCTTTACTGCTAATGAGTTTTATGTTAGTATTTCAGAAATGGCTTAAAGCAGTGACATGTGTAATCGCAGTAATATTTAAAAACTGTAAGGGAACATTTTCATTTCATGCCAGTCATTTCAGAGACTGGGCAGCCCACACCTGAGAGGAAGGGCAAAAATCTCTCCCCACAGCTTCCACCATGAGGCAGAAAACCCAAGGAAAATGTTCTGCCCCTTCCCATTCCCTTGTTCCCCTAAAGCCACAGCATGTAAGAAAGTATTCCTTCCCCACAAATGTCCCACTGTTTCCTCCTCCAAATAGTAATAAGCAGCAGAAATAGTCAGATGAGAATTTAACTAACGAAAACACACCCTAAGACCATCTTACATTTCTGACATTCCTAAAAGGAAGGAATGTGATGCCTCTGTGTTTTAATTTAGAAATTGTCTCATTCTGTGAAATGTGGCTAAAGAGTGTTAAAAAGGCTAAAACAAAAGTGATTCACTTGTATAGAACCTTTTTTTTTTCTCCTTTTCCACATTACTGGCAGCAACAGTCTTGTTGTCCGCAAGTAATCTCAATGCTTACACACAGCTCCTCATTCATTGACTCCACTGACTCTACTGACTTGCCAGTGTAAATCTAGATTGCAGACTGGATCCTTATACAGAAACAGTACTTGTTCTAATGACAAAGCATGGCATGCAGACTTAGAAAAAGTCTTGGAAAAAGCATAATGTGTTTTTATTCTGCGTGTAGTCCAATTTGTAAGCAGCTTGGATTCAATGACATAGGTCCCTCCACCTGTGAAAATTCATATATTCAGAACACTCCTATCTTCCTTCAGATAGATGCTTTGAGCACAACCAGATTAATAGTGTGGCTGTTTATTGAACTATTTCCCCCATCTCCTCCTGAAATTAAGATACTTTCATATCTCACGATGGCTATAACTTGACCATTCACTCTATTAATTTTATAGAAACAAATTGCATAGATTTTATAATAATCAGGTAGAAACTCGACATTCAGAATATATGTCCATCATACAAGTCCACTCATTGTGTCTGTTAGCTGCCAAGTGGATATTTGCTGCATGAGTTGTTGATAGATACCTGATCTGAAGATCATCTTGCCCTTTCGGATTTCTGCCAAGCTGCATTGCATTATGCATGCTTTATCATGCCCTTTATGTCCACTTTTGACAATACACAGTTGTATTTTCTGTGCTGGCTCCCAGTTTATATTACATTATACGTGCAATGCATAAATATCTATAAAATAAGATTACTAAGACAGGAGGCCTCTCCCTAACAAAATATTTAAAATGCATCTATCAAAGAAGTAGCTATTTATCAAAGAGGTGAATATGACTCAATAAGCTTGCTTATCACCTAGTTATCTTAAAGCTAATACTAGCAGTCATTATCACAATGCCTAAACATTTTCTTTGAAAAAGAATGGTAAAAATACAATTCTTAGCAGAGTTGAAGGAGTCAAATTTCTACTCGTAGAGTTGAAGGAGTCACATTTCTATCTGTATGCACAGAGTATATTTATATCTACAGCTTTCGTTGTGTATGTTTTTACTTATGTAATGATTTATATGTTCATAGTGTTCTCTACTAGGGGGCTATTTTTGTCAGGAAGGTTTAGGATTTGGGCTTGAAGTTTTCTGCTTTATTCTTTCAATGAAATTATCTCTTTTCTTCAAGGACAGTCTTTGAAGTGTTTCTTATATATAGTGGAAATACAGATTGACAGCAGAAAGAGCCTCTTAATCATTTTTTATGATCAGCAGCTGTTATCCTATTTTTATCAACAACTTCATTACTGCAGGAATTGTTTTTGAAAAATGTGAATGATGCTGCTGAAATCATTCCACATGAGCAGATTTTTCCACAGAAATTTTTACAGCCACTTCCAAAAATCTCACTTTAAGAAGCAACCCCCAAATTAATATGGAATAATACAGTTTTCTCACAGATATATGTATGATTTAAATATGCAGTATGCATAGTTTGAATGCAATGGGCAAGAAAGAAGATTTTTAAATGCCCCAACTATTTTATCCTTTTCATAATGCACATTTCAACTAGTCACTGTTTCTGTATTAAGCAATATTAACAGTACATGCATAAAGAAATTATCCTCATGCAAGATGCACCTTTACATTTTTTTTAATCTGACGTGCCTATAGGGCCATGATTTGATACACCTACCGATGAAACCTGAAGAAGGAGGGTTGGGCTGTATCTTCTCTTTTGTGTTCTCCTGAATGATATCCCAGAGCTGCCATATAAACTTTGGATGGAGAATGTAAAACGGCTGGTGCGGATTCTTCTTGCGATGCTGTACGTAAGGAGTGAACAGATTGTAGTCTGGCTTCTTATACCACTGGGAAGAAAAAGTAAGAAATTGTTTAGTGGTATCCAATTGAACACTACAAGCAAAGTAGCAGGAACTAGCTTCATTCAGGTTTTCAAAACAGAAACAAAAGTTAGCAAATCAGTATGTTTTTCCCCACAAGGACCCACAATAAGCAATTCACTGCAGTGGGATGAGCCAACACCATTTCCCACTCCTAAGCGCATATTAAATCAGAGGTTCAAAAAGCCACCCCAAGACATGGGCATTAGGGTGAGGCTTTCTCTACAAGTGCCTCCATCCCTGTTGGCAGCAGCAGCAGGTGAAGCAGCCTTAAGGCAGCCCGT